GAGGCACCTTCTTGCAACTCGCGATCTTCCACCAAGACCATCCACCCCCGGGCCCACGTACAGGATGCTGCGTCTGCAACAAAAACAACAAGAACAAAAACATACAACACCGAGGATTCGCTGGTGGTCACCCACCCAACTACTGATTCGGCCCTTACTGGTTTATCAAAGGGAGAGCGGACGGGATCCCGAGCTTTCCAGTAGGTATGGTCGTATGTGGCAATCATCGCTACGAGGGCAGTTCATGTTGCATGCAGTCCGACGAGACGGGAAGTGTATTAGTTTCGCGAATTGGAGACAATCAAAACCAACGCTGGTGATTACAATTTGGCTATCCTGAGAAACAAAGCCCCTGTCGCACCATCTCAATAGGGCCCGCGATACTCCGCCGTCTGGCCTGTGCCATAGCCGGACCTATACCCATCCTCAACCTCAACACCGAGCTGCTCGCCCCTCATTCCGAAGACGTTACCGTAGAACCACCGCCCACCAAGCTCTTTGATCCTCTTCCTCCTCTCCTTCTTGTCCATGGCCGCCACACCGCCGAGGCCCGACACCCACCTCGACTCGGAAACATACCACATGGCGCCACCAACACTCCGGGGATCGACAGGCATGTCAGGCCAACGGATGAACAGACTGCCGACCACGACAGCGGCCATGAGTACGAGCAACCCGGCGCTCGTTCTCGCGCAAATGTCGTGCGTCAGCTTTGTCTGCGTCAGGTTGTAGGGCACATTCGCCAGCAGAATCGGCAGGAACTCGGACAAGACGGCCATGAGCGCCACGACGAACAGCACAGGATCGCCAGTACGGATACCAGTCGCGATGCCAGAGAAGGAATTGGTCGGAAGCGTGACGAGAATCGAGCGGCGCGCGGGCTGGGCTCGCTTGGCCATGAGTCGGTACGGGGCGATGACGGCGACGCCTAGACAAGCCAATGTCAGTCAAACAACACGGAAATGCACACTCTTCGCAACGAACAGGAAACGTACTGCAGAACAGACACTCGGAGGCAAAGATGACGACGACGCCGAGGCCCGAGAAGACGAAACGCCCGCCGAACCTCTGGCTGTCGACGAAGCGCTGCAGATCGCGCGGCAGCTTCTTGGTGATGTGATAGTACAGCACGAGTGCCGCGATGCCGCAGAGCACAACGACGAACAGGATGCGCCACCACCACGTCAACGCGATGAAGTGGTTGGGCGGCTTCTGCCGCCTGGCGGCCGGATGCAGCGTCTCCGCCTCGATCGGCTGGCCGTCCCAGGCGCCGGCGCCGTGCTGGCCCTGCAGGTTCCTACCGGCCTCGTCGACGAGGACGAGGCCGTACTCGTCGCGGCCGTCGGCGTCGCGGTACCAGCCCATGGCGTAGTGCTTCTCGGCGACGACGGACTTGACGTCTTCGTTTGACGAGCGCACGTCCGGATTGCGGGCGAGGGCTGCCATGCCGGCAACGCACCAGGGATCGGCAAAGACGCCGGAGCGCCAGCGGGCGAGAACGCCAAGGAGCACGAGGACGAGAAGCGCCAGCACGGCCAGCATGGCGATGAGGACGCCGCTGGCGATAGTGTTGATGCCGAGCTTGAGGCCGCAGCCGTCAATTGCATTGGCGCTGCATTGGCCGTGAATCTTCATGCCAATGGCTTCGGTGGCGACCGGGGTCAGGAAAGCGGAGATACAGACCAGTAGAGTCGTGAGGCCGGTCGCCGGATAGGACTTGCCCATAAGCTTGAAGGGCAAGAAAAAGCCGCCCCAGCCCTCGAAGTGTAGATTGAGGGATGCCGGACCAGGTACGCCACGTGATTGTGATAGAGCCTCAAACGGGTGATAGAGCTTGGCGGCGCAGTCGAGAGCACGAATAGGGATGCCGAGGAGAATGGCCAGGATAGGCGGCAGGAACTTGCCAAGGAAATAGCTCACGGCGCTGAATGACAGAGTCGTCGTCTCGATGACGATACGATCTGTCGATGATGTAGGCGTCGAGACAGATGTGAGAACGGTACGAGTCGGCGGCAGAGTCGTTACGCGGGTGGTTGGGCTTGGAGTTGACACAATGGTAATAGGCTGGCCGTTGGCATCAGTCGTCACAATAGTCGTTGGTACACCGAGGTCGGTCTCTGTGACGACCTTGCCGGCTACGTCGCTCGTAACAAGCTTGGTCACAGGCGTGCCGCCCTCTCCCTTGGAGAGGGTCCTGCCATCAGCGCGAACCGTGTAGATGTTGATGAGCGTCGTTGTGCCTGTCGAAACATAGACCTGGGGCGGACCAGTCCTCGTCCGGACGATTTCGGTGGCCGTTTGGCCGGCGGGGATCGTCGCAAGAACAACAGTAGTGCGAGATACTGTGTTGGTTGCAGTCGCCTCAATCGTCGCTTGGATTGTGTTTTCGTTTACAATCGTTGATACAGAGCCATCGGACAGCGTCGAAAATTCGGTGGTCGGCACCACTTGTGATGTGACAACACTCGTTACTACCGTTTCCGTGTCGACGATAGTCGTGGTGATGTCGGTGATGATCTCCGTATCGATGGTTACTTGAACGGTCTCTGTCTCCACGATGCTGGAACCGGGTATTGTGACAGTGGTCGTGAACTCTGACGATGTCTCCTCTGTCGTCGTACGCAATCTAGCGGCAGCATCACCATTGTCGTCGTCATTTCCATTGCCAACCGTTTCCGTAGGCTCGGGTGCTGGCTCTGGGACAGCCTCCGGCGTTGCTTCAGGATTCGGCGCTGCTTCAGTCGGCACAGGACTCGGCACGGCATCTTGCCTAATATGAAGTATTTCGTCGGCCACATTCGAACTCACGAAGCTTCTCTCTTCCAAGACTTGCCGTTGCTCGATCGTCGCCGTGCTGTCAGTTCCCTTCAATGATCGCTGTGTCCAGGCAACCAAGCCCATGGCGGCGAGGATCAGTAGAAGGAGGCATGATACAAAAGGCCATCGCATGGAAATTGGGCGATAGTCAGCCTTTGTCCGTCTCCTCTTGTCCTCCGTCTCTTCTGATGGAAAGCCCGGTTGGGGTTTGACTTCGGTGACACCCTGCATCGAGTAGTGTTTGTATTGCTCCCGAGCCGACAGCTCCTCCGCCAGCACCTCCGGGCGGGTCGGCTCATACTGTGGCGGTTGATGCATGGCGAGTTGAAGCAGGCCACAATGCCTTGCTCGTAGTTAAGATGGCTTGCTCACTCAGTCGTTCTCCGAAATCGAGTAGGGCCAAGATGCACTTCAAGAGCCAGACCTCAAGCAAGCGTGCCAGGGGGTTGGGAGGGCGAGCCAAGCAATATGAAGGAGCCACGAGCAACCCATGCCCCGTGCAATACAATCTTCCTCTCCCTTTCCGCCTTGGTCTCGCGGCTGCATTCGGTAATGAGAGGCGACCCAGCCGCAGACTCACAACCCAATTTCTGAGGGCTAGACTTCCCAAAGCTAGCGAGGGCCTAGAGCTCAGCTGTGGCTGCACCGCCATCGACCGCCAAGCCAGTGCCGTCTCATGGCTTGTCTACCAGCAAGGGCTCTGAATGGCCCACCAGCGAGGGCTTGAGTGTCTAGCTCGGCCACTTTGGGTTGTCAGAGGCTCAGCTGGATGGGGCCAGACGGGCTTGCTGTGCTATTGGGCTTGGCAACCAGAACGTGCTGGGCTGGGTGTCAAGAGGGTTAGCGCAGATGCAAGCCAGGTTGTCGGGTTGGGGGATTGCCGGTAGGGCTGACCATCTTTGCTGTGGTTTCTCGAGGCGAGGCTGCCTGAACGGGCTAGACCTGGCGTTATGCTTCTTTTCGCGAGAGGGTGTTGAATGGCAGGAGGGGCTGTGGTTGGGATCTGGCATGCTCGTCGTGGCACCACCGAACGTTATCCAACGGGGGAGTCCGTAGGTATCTGGTGCCATGGCTCGGGCCCTTATTGGACCTGGCTACGACCTTTCTTTAAGCTTCTTTTAGGGCGAAAGTCCCATGTCCCCATGTGAAGGCCTGTAGAAAAGTGCGAAGCTCGTTTTCTCGTCAATTGAGCCCACCAGGAGCAGCTAGCGGCTCGCGCCCCAATGATCGTTCTTGAGACAACTTGTCTCACATTGAAAGGCCTTAGTCACGACCCTTGTCTGTTATGCTTTGGCCAGACCATCGTCGGTTGCCGTCGCGAGCACGTTCACAGCCTGTTGTTCTTGAGGGGACCAATGATTGCGACTGCGGCCTGACAGAATCGCGGGGTCGAACATGCAGACATTTTTGAAGATCATGTGCTATCCATCTGATCGCTACCAATGAGCCGTCGTAGGCAGGAAATACGCATGGCCAAGGAATCGAATGATGGGTGGGTTAGGTGTGCGCGACCTCCCTAGCCTTGGAGTTTGGCGACCGCTTCTTTTCGTGTTCAGCGAACTGACAAGCCATCATTAACTTAGCTGCTACGGACAATATGGGAAGCAGAAGGTACTCAGATATTTCGAATGCATTCGTCGTGGCTATGCTGCGAGTGATTCTCAAGTCGGGTTGGCTAGATACCCAGTAGCTTGGATTGCAGTGATCGAGATCCCTCGTTTTGGCCGCAATGGGTCCCTGAAGCAAGATTCTCAGCCACCGGTCTTCACTAATCAGATTTAATCATAGCTCAAGGCCCACAATACCTCCTTATCTGGCGGCTGTGCAGACAGATGGCTTGCGAATGCTGGTGGTGATGAGGACACGAATCGCTCGAGGTAGCTTCTTTGTCCCCGGCATGGATTGGAAGTCTGCTTTCTTAGACGACGGTGGATTTGGGATGGTATTCATGGCTGTACGTATGCCGTCAAAAATAAAAAAAAAAAGTGGTTACTCGATGAGACCGAGGCCAAAAACATGCACTCATATAACCAAGAGACACGTGCCTGATCGGGCCGAATCTCGCATCCGATCATCGACCATGCGTAGCTGCTGGTAAACAAATCATCCCATATTTCTCAACACCAAGTAGCATTGCGAGCTGAGCAAGAATGGCCCTATGGTTATTTTCATCAATATGATGTCTATTTCAGCTCGTCTTGGAAGTAAATCATCATTGCTCCTTGGTTCACGGACTTGGCAAAAGCCTTCAGCTCGGCGTGTGCAGCACATTCGTTGTCATAGTACGCCATGTCGTCCACCGATGCAAAGGTTGACTGTACGGCCACAGTATAACCTTGTGCTCTCTGATCTTTGAAGGCAGTACCCGCCTTCACCCCCAGAAGGTAAGGTTGTCCGTCCTGTCACGAGATGTGCCATCAGCAGGGATTCTCAATGACGAGGGCGACAAAAAGTTGCAGCCTACCTTGACGGCCTTCAGGGGCATACCTCTATAGAGTTCCAGCAGCTTCTGTCGGTCTTCTTCATTGGGAATCTTGAACAATGTGATGCGGTTGACGTGGTTTGTGTTCGCCATGGTTGCTGTTTGATTTGATAGGCTGGCCTGGGAGGACACGGGATGTACAGGCTGGGGGTGTTCGCTGGTGCTGTCGCACGAACTAGTTTGCCGTGACGTGACAATTGTTTTAAGACCCTGAGCGACTGCTCAAGAGTACCTCGGCCACGAGGAACGCCGAGTTCGACCCGACTGATGTCTTTCCGAGCCATGACAGATCACCCATCCCAGACAGCCATGTTGCGAATGCGGGGTGCACGGAATCATCGCGGGGTGACGCTCGGCTCAGTTGTCCGGAATTATCGGAATCGTTCCCGGAGACAATGTGTACGCCTCCCAAAACAACATAGATAGCGGCACCATCATGAGCAGCGGATCGATTGTTCAATTCGAAAAGTCTCTTAACTAGTTCAAAGTAAATAGGCTATGTACAGACTGGTGACAAGATTGTTGCTGCATTTACAGCTTCTCGCTTTCCACCTGTCTCGTGCTGTCCAGTGCCTTGCGCAGCGCAGTCTCATTGCGGGGAACAAACTTTGCGCGGTAGCGCTTCGGCAGAGCGACCAGACTCGTGGGGTCCGCATTGCCCTTGACTGGGTCAGACTCGAAGTCGTCGTGCTTGACAATCTTGAAGCTGTTGATCATACGCATGTAGATCAGGTAAAGCTCGCGGTTAGCAAGGAGCGACCCCGCGCACATGCGGTAACCCATGCCGTACGTGAAGAGAGGCGCGTCAGGCTGCTCGAGCCATCGCTCGGGGCGGAAAGCTTCTGGGTCAGACCAGACATTGCCGTCTGCAGATTAAATATTAGCAAACGTGTGATGCGCCATGCCACAGAATAGGGAAGAGACTTACCCATGTTGCATGCCCAAGCGTTGAGGAACAGCGTGGATCCCTTGGGGATGGTGATGCCATTGTGGACCACGTCGCGGACAGTGGCCCGCGGCAGAGCAAGGCGGAGAACTGTGTAGTAACGAAGGGACTCCCGCACAAGAGCGACCATGTATGGGCACTTTTGGTCATCCTCAGAATCACAGAGAGGCTCATTGTCCCCGAAGAAGGCGCGGATCTCCTGGACGGCCTTCTCTTGAATCTCAGGCTTGTGAACGAGGAGGCCGATGAACCATGCGACCAGCGTCGTGAGGGTGTCAAGGCCACCAGACAGCATGGTCAAGCTGATAGAAGTGAGCTCCTCGGCGTTCAGTCTGGCCTCCTCGTCAAGCATGACGTTGGCTTGAATGCAAGGCTTGTAAGTGCCATCCTTCATTCGCTGCTCGAGACCTTGATTGAGAGCCGTAAGATACACGTCTCGACGGTGGCGCATCTCGCGGGCCTTGGCCGAGTGGAAGTTGAAAGGATTGAGTCGCAGGAGAGGAACATAGTCTTGGTAGTTGCCCGTTGTCGATCTGAAGCGGCTGACCTCCTCCTCGACGTGCGTAATCTCCTCGAAAAGCTCGCCTCGATTGCTCATGCGCACGCCCCAGTTTAGCGACAGCGCCAGCGATAGAGAAAGACGCTGAATCATCGGCATGGGGTCCACAGCTGCTGTTCCGGCCTTGCCGTCTATATAGAGCTCCTCGATAAAGTCCCGAGTCTCGACGTCTAAAAGCGGAACGTACGTCTGCACAGAGGGGCGATTGAGGGCAGAGGCAGCACCCTTTCTACGACGCTTTAGAGATTCGCTGTAGGGAGACGTTCCGATGGTGGTACCGGCGGTGCTCGAAACAACCTGCAGACCCAAGTCAATATCAGGCAAATGGCCAAGCCGTGGTGGGAGTGGGCAGAGCTCAATGCTGCGGAATCATACTGACCTTGTGGAACGTGTAAGTCTCCGGCCGAGAACTCAGAGCCTGGGAATGTTGACCGAAAAGGGATTTGGCTGCTGAAGCTGAGTTGACGATGACCACTGGTACATTTCCAAGTTGCACCTGGTACACGTCGCCATGCTTTTTCGCCCAGTGGCGATACTGATCCGCGGCATTGGTCCGAATGTCCCAAAGATTACCGATCAGAGGGAGACCGCGAGGTCCCTTCATGCCTTTAATGCGCGCATTGCTACGGACAAACTCGTTGATTACCACGTAGACGATTGGAACAGCGACGAGAAGAACAACGGAGGCTTCCAATGTGTTCTCGCGTGCCTTCTGAGCGAGAAAGGCCACGGTCTCAATGACAGCCATGGCAGCGTTTGGCAGTCTTCGTGATGCGAGCAGACGCCCAGACTATTGTGTGTCGCTGAGAGGGAAGATGAGATCAAAAAGGTTCCAAGGTGAGTGTGTCAGGCGCTGTGTATGAATGCTACTGTGTACGAGTTCGAAGCACGATAATAAAGGTAGATGTGTTCAGAGGCCATGTTATACGAATGGCAGATTGGTCCTCGGCCGATCAATGTCGCGCGCCATCCGACCATTCCTCGAACGAAGGAAGCCTCTGCCCATTCGGCAAACCTTCGCCACCTCATCACATCCAATCCATGTTCACATCTTCGCCATCCCAAACGTTATGGTGCACCGACCGGCTTCCCCCGCACTAGCTGCTCCCCGCGATGCGGGGTCTAGAGCCCTCGGAAGGAGCTGATGGTCGGAACAGTCCCGAGCTATATGAGGCATACGCACTCGGAACGCAGTCGCCTGCCCCTGTGTGAACAGTAGGCCTTTATTTCCACAACTCTTTTGTCGATAGGTAGTCATGCCGTGCCGTGCCGCAGCCGAGCCAGGGTGTCAGTCGGAGTGGCACGAGGATGCTTCATTCGTGTTCTTCGGAACCGGTGTCGACGTGACCTTGGCTTCAGTCTGCACAGAAGAATGCATTAAGCATACTTTCGGTCAAGATTATCAGTGACACAGTAACACGTGGGATGGACGTGTGTTATCACAGCTTGAGTCTTATTTCCGTCACTCCAATCATGAGTGATGGATTTGGAATCGAGACGAAGGAGACGTCTCGGCCCTGTTTTCGCCATTTCGCAGTCTCGCTATGCCTACGCGCTCGAGATCGGTCGTGGTCTGCATCCATCTTATCCATCTTCACGGGCGGAACGAACCGATTCCAACATGGTGCGGAGGCAGATATTTGAATATCTCGATGCAATTTCTTGGCAATAGCTTTATCTCTATATACACCCCAACGCGTAAATCATTAAATCATCCAGCGTGTCTTAATCCTACAGCTTACTGCAGCACCCCTCTGTGGGCTTCGAACCAAGATCCTTGTCTGAGGGCACATCAATCGCTGGATTCCTGGTGAAGAAATCAGAAGGAGTAATGTTAAGCTGCATAATTTCAACAGGCCTATATGATGTTAGAAATTTTGAAGCACCCATGATTGACATGCCGGAAACTTACATGACGGGCCAATCTTCGATCCTAGGGTTATGGGTAAGGCCGAATACGCTCCACACGACGACGTCCTCATTGAGAACATCGTCGTTGCGGTCAGCCGCATCAGACACGCCGTCAACCTCTTTCTTGCTCATCAGTGTATAGCGGCCACCGGCGTACAGTTCGTCATCCTTGAATTTGGTGACCCACAGGTGGTGCTGAGCGAAGAGAGCACGCTTCGCCTGGGTGCTGTTCGGGTCGGCGAGCAGCAGTTGAGTTGCAGGCGGCGCAATCTTGTACGCGACGGGCTTGCCGCTGATGGGGTTGAGCTTGTTGGTGTTCTGAATCTTGAACACCCTGTGGTTCTGCGGCACGGCATCAAGGCCTACAGATGTTGTGATGGGCGTTTGTCGGACCTCATAGTAGTTGCCATTGGGGTTCGTCCGCTTGTCCATGCGAACCGGAAGGCTCTCTTCTTGCACAACCGTGTTTTGCTGACCATCAATCGCGGGGTCGATGCGCACGCAGAAGATGTGCTGATGGTTTTGAGCGAGGGCACCTGGGCTGACAATGTTGCCCCATGGGCTCGTCTTGCCGGGGTCAATGTTGACGACCGAGACGATGCCTGTCGCGCGGGCTTCGACTGTGATGCCGGCTGCTTGGTCGAATTTGTAGTTGAAGATGTACTCGTAGTTGGCCAGCGTGATGATGAACTGGATCACAAGCTCGCGTCGGCGGGTAACAACGGCGCGACCGGTCCTCCAGTTGGTGTGCTTCCAGTTGATACCAGCATCTTGTTCGTGGAGACAGATGACGTTCTTCGTTTCGTTGGCGGAGCCATCAGCCCCAGTGAGGACGCCGTCGAAGTACTAATGGCATGTAAGTGAACCTGCGAGCGACTTGTACTGGGACTCGCGACGTACCTTGATGACACCGAGACAATCGCATCCCAAAGTCAGATTGTTGACAGCATTTCCAAGGCCTCCGTCTCCAAAGTCAAATGCCTGCTTTCGGTGGAAGGGAGGTCGCGGATCGGCATACGGGACAGTCTAGTAGTTCACACTGTGTCAGTAATGCTCAATTTATCACATGCAGCTTGGGGGAGTACTGACCATATCGCTCATACTGAGCCTGTAGAGCACGCTGCGCCCGTCAAACCTAATGTCGTGGACAACGGCTCCCTCTCGCGGGTTGAATGTGACTCGCATGCTCCACTTTTGCCACTGAATCAGGTTGCTGTCCGTGATGGCGAAGCTGGGACCATCGGGCTGGACAACAGTCAAGGGCTTCAGGTCCTGTCTCACGCCACCAGCCAGGAGCTCTGGAACATATTCTGCCGCTTCGCAGTGCTCAAGCACAGCGGGCTTGTGTGTTTGTCCCTTCAACGGGTCCCCCTTGCCGCCGGTGGCGAGATCATCAATGCGGATAATCTTCTTCGTCGCTGCGTCCATCACAGGAATGAGGGGTAATGGAAAGGCGTAGAAGTTGGAGTCCGGGTTCCCGCTGCTTGTGTCACGCGCGAAAATCAGGGCTTGGAACAGACGAGTATCGCCGTCGGCCACTTCGGGAGCCCCATATGGCCAGGGCTCGACAACGACTTCGAAATCTTTCGGGAGCTCGAGAGCGGCAATCTTTTCCTGGAAAAGCGGCGACTCCTTGCATGCATTGACAAGGTCGTCAAACTCGGAGCTAGGCACATGAAATGAGCTCACGACCTGGCGAACAGGAATGGGAGAGGGGACTCACAGGACCAAGCTCGCTTGGTGTACTTTGGCGACAATCTTGGTGTCGACTACCTTCTTGGAGCTGAGGTCGACCACGGATTCCTGGTACACGGCAACATTGTCGCCGCCGATGACATCGTAGTGAACCTGTGCTGTGCGAATAGGGCGAGGGGTTTCTGCAGTGACCTTTCCGGCGTGCTCGAGGTCAAGGAATGTAATCACTTCGGCCTTTGGGGGCTCGAGAAGGAAGATGAGGCGGAACTTCAGCACAGCGCCCTCGTGAGCTGCCAATACAGCATCACGGGCCACGTCGCTCTCCGCAACGGTGAGGGCTGAAAGGGGGTGAGGGATCTGTGTCATTGTGAAGAAGAGAATCAGGGTGGTCGAGAGGAAGTCGTTGAGAAAGAGAAGACGCGTGCAGTGAATCTATTATGCGAAAATACGACGTGGTTTTGAGGGCGACAGCTTGTGCTTGGGGTAGCTCATGCCCCCCAACACCGCTTCGAGCATAGTTCGGCTTCTCCAAACAGGGTTCATGGTTCTCGGAATCCCCGCTATCAGGTTCCGAGCACGCTCGGCAAGCGACGCTTCCCTGAGCGCCCGATTGATGTCCCATGATCCCTGCTTTACCCCATGTTTTCCTATCGCTGATGGTCTTCCCTCCACTGGTCGGCCAATCAGTCAGAGGATGATGTGGCTGCAGTATCAGTTCCCCTGTCTCGTCGTAGTCTCCTGTACGATATGTCCTCGGATTGCCTTGTCGGGATGCTGGATATCTCCCGACTACATCTACCGCTGTCATCCGGGGCCCATGAGACATCAATGGTCATCATCACAGTATCACGGTTGCAAGCGTGAATCATATTCTTTGTGTACCACTCCATCACGCCATCCTTGTGGTAACACCAAGCGGACCTCAAGGGAACATCAAACGACCATCAGCCCGTACCATCATGTCAGGCTCCTCGCCTGCCCCACCGGCTCCGGAGAAGGTAATCGACGATGTCGAGCTGAAGAAGATGCGATCGACCGTCTTTGCGGAAGGCGATGAGGCTCGTCTAGCGCAACTGGGCCATGCCCAGGAGCTTGAGCGTCGTTTCTCTCTTGTACCCCTGATTGCTCTTTGTGTCTGCTTGATGGCAACGTGGGAGGCTCTATCCACAGTCATCGCTGCTGGCCTCATTGGCGGAGGAGCCCCCTGTCTCTTTTACAACTAGTACGTTGCGAAATCACCATGACAGCAACTCTAGACAGTGTTACTGACTCGACATATAGTGTCATCTCGTTTCTTTGCACCATTTGCGTCGCATCCTCTCTGGCCGAAATTGCATCGATCTTCCCAACAGCTGGAGGTGAGAAACTTTGAGTGTTCCTGCAGCAGATTTGAACTGCTATCTTGTTCAAAGTCAACTTTCCAGACACGAGCTGATCATTATCTCCATAGGCCAATACCACTGGGTCGCAGCCCTGTCGTCAGAATCCACTCGATCCAGCGTCTCCTTCCTGACAGGTTGGATCTCGGTTGGCGGACAAACCATCTTGACTGCTTCGGCCGCCTTTGCAGCTGGTTTGCAGCTGCAAGCCCTCATCACGATCAACAATGATAACTATGTGCCGGAGAGATGGCAGGGCATGTTGTTTTACTGGGCAGTACTCGTCTACGCCATGGTTATGAACATCTGGGGATCCAAGGCGCTACCACACGCCAACCTCATCGCAGGTGTCATTCATGTAACAGCCTTTATTGCGATTGTCATCGTCCTTGGCGTCATGTCAAAGAAGAACACAGCCTCTTTTGTCTTTACCGACTTTTCAAACAACAGTGGTTGGTCGAGCGATGGGATTTCTTGGCTCGTTGGCTTGCTCAGCGCCGTCTATCCCTTCCTCGGGTAAGCCCAGTTTTCGATGTCGATTCCCCTGGCATGAGAAATACTGATCACGCGCAGTTACGATGCTGCTTGCCACCTGGCTGAAGAGCTACCAGACGCCAGCCGCAACGTTCCGCTCGCCATGGTCGGCAGCGTGGTTGTCAACGGACTGATGGGCCTCGTCTATGTCATCGTCCTGCTCTTCTCTACTGGGCCCCTGGAATCGCTCATCACTTCCCGCACCGGCTTTCCCTTTATGCAGATCTATTTGGACGTCACAGAGTCCCGCGCTGGCGCCACAATCATGTCTCTGATGCTTATACTCATCGCCATTGCCGCCACCGTGGCGGGCGTGACCTCCACCTCTCGAACCCTGTGGGCTTTCGCTCGCGACAAGGCCACCCCCTTCGATCACTATCTCAGCTTCGTCAACAAGACGCAACACGTCCCTGCCCGCGCCGTAGTTGTCGTCACCATCCTTCAGATGCTCCTCGGCCTCATCTACATCGGAAACACGACAGCCTTCAACGCTGTGCTGTCAATGGCCATTATTGGCATGTACCTCTCGTACGCCCTTCCGATCGGCTACATGCTCTTCCGCGGCAGGAAGGTACTGTATGCAAACGACTACGGCAAGTTCAAGCTCGGAAAGGCCCTGGGGCCGGCCATGAACGTCGTCAGCCTCATCTGGATGGCCGTCGTTGTTGTCTTCAGCACGTTTCCGACCATGATGCCCGTCACGGCGCAGACGATGAATTATTCTACGGTCGTGTTGGCCGGTTGGGTGTTGTTTGGCGTGGTGTATTATTTCGCGTACGGAAGGGACAAGTATCTGGTGCCTGTCATCAACGTTTCTGTCATTACTGGCATGTCGACTGTTGCGGAGGATGTTGAGAAGTAACTGTGAGCAGATCGCTGCCGGGCATATTGTGACCAGCAAGCCTATCGTCTATGGCATTTTTTTCAGATTTTTCACATTTGTAATACATCAGATCGTCGTAAACTTTGATTCGGATTGAGAAACACTTTGAACACCGCTGCATTGTATGTGCATCTACAAAAAAGCGGCAGCGTCGTCTTGGGGATTGCCGTCTGGTACCCTCACGACAAGCTAAGCTCACGATTGAATCTCCGGACCACAGACTGAACCTCGCCAGCGCAGCTGTTGGGTTTAAAACAATTTATGAGCTAGGCAGCCAGCAAGAATCATCACGCGATTGTTGCAGCCTATCGATTCGAATATATTCCTTCCATCCGCTCATACTTGCATCGCGGCTCAATCTTTTACCCTCTGAATAGAACACGAACTTGCCCCCTCATTACGTGACATTTCTCATCCGTATCATGCCTCGCACTACTTCGTCTCGGGGGCCTTGCCCGTAAAGTGCGGCACCAACCCAGACCAGCTCTCCTTGCTGTACTCCTGCTGCACCTTCTCACAGTGCTTCAGCCCCCAGTCCGTGACGCCAATCATGAGGCAGCTCTCGAACATGAAGGCCAGACTGCCCTCGCCGACCTTGTGCGGCTTGAGCTCGGCGTTGCTCGCCTTTTCAAACGTCTCGGCATCAGGCCCATGCGCCGCCATGACGTTGTGCAGACTCGCGCCGGCGGGCTGGAACCCGCTGCCGGACTTGGCGTCGTACTCGCCGCACACGAGGCCCATGAACTCGGACATGGTGTTGCGGTGGTACCAGGGCGGGCGGAACGTGTCCTCCTGCACGAGCCAGCGCGGCGGGAAGATGACAAAGTCGGCGACGGCGATGCCGGGGTGTTCCGAGGGCGCCGTGAGGACCGTGTAGATGGAGGGATCCGGGTGGTCGAAGGAGGTGCTGCCGATGACGTTGAAGCGGCCGAGGTCGTACTTGTAAGGGTAGTAGCGGCCGTGCCAGGCGACGACGTCAAAGGGCGTGTGGCCCTGCTTGGCGGCGAAGAGGCTGCCGTTGAACTTGGTGACGATGGTCCAGTCGGCCTTTTCGGTGCTGAAGGCCGCGCGGGGCGCCTGGAAGTCGCGCGCGTTGGCGAGGCCGTTGGAGCCGATGGGACCGAGCTCGGGGAGCGTGAAGTGGCCCTGCATCAGTTCGAGGATGTATCCCCGGGCAGGGCCCTCGGGAAGCGTGACACGGTAGCGGATGCCGCGCGGGATGACGAGGATTTCCATCGGTCTCACAAGAAGGTTGCCCAGCTCCGTCTGCACGTCGAGGACGCCGTGCTGGAGGACGATGAGGATGTCGCTGTCGGACGAGTAAAAGGCTGTGTGGGCGTCCATGTCGCAGCCGGCTGCGAAGATGGAGATGGAGATTCCCTGCTTCATGACGGGATCGCCAGCGCCACCAACGAGCTGCATGCCGGTGATCCAGTCGGCCTTTTCGTCAATGTCGAAGGGGTTCCATCGCAGCTGGTTGGGGATCTGGTGGACTTTGGTGTCAGCGGCGAGGCCCGAGCCGGTCTGGTTTTCCAGTGGCTCGAAGCTCGAGTGTGAAGCCGCTGGCAGGATGCGGTACAGCCATGACTGCAGGTTCTCGTGCCTTTGCGCGGTAAAGGCAGTGCCGGAGAGCTTTTCGGCGTAGAGGCCCAGAGGTGCCTTTTGGGGCGAGTTGGCACCGATAGGCAGGGCGCCCTCTACAGCTTCGGTCCTACGGTGCAGAGGAGTCAATTAGCATATGTCTCATTTGCTTCAGGGAAGCTAAGATGTAATGGCTTACTCATGACCTGACCCGAAGCCATTGAGGTATTGATATTTCTCCGGAGTGCTAAACTTAGTGACGGGCATCTTGACTCTGCCTCACTTTGGTATCAAAACTCGGTATCGTTGTCTGCAAAGATACAGTGTCAAGCAAGAAGATGGGTATCAGATATTGGTGCCCGTCAAGGTCTGGATCTCAAGGTCTGGACCTCAAGGTCTTATCTAGGCGTTTCCGAGGGGCTTCCGGCACTAACTACCGTTCCGGAGCTGCCGTGGCTGCGGCGATCATCACAAGGTGAAGAAAGTCTATCATACGACGTCCGTCACATTGTACCGGGCAGTTACTGATGCGACGCGCTACTCGGTGTTAGGAACGGCATATCGGCGGTCGATAGAACCAAGGGTTCTCCAAAACCACGCGATGCCAGAATCGCACAACATGGACATGGCCATTGGAGACGCAACATGACCATGCCCCTGACGGCGCCAGAGTGTACCGCGGCGCAGCTCCGAGACTCAGCCCCTCCTCACCCCGCCTCCAGGCCTCGGGCATCTCCACTGCGATGTGACCCCGCGCCAGGTCCGAAATTCCGTGAAACTGCACTGAGGCGCCAGCGCGCTTCCAGCATGATTCCGAAGGGACAATGCCACGGCTGGTGGACTAGCTGCTGGGCAGATTGCATCATCCGATCGGTCTGATACTTTATCAGTTCCTTATGTGTGACTTTTGGTCTATTTGCTATTTGATGTATGTTAAGCTGTGGACAGGACCGTGAATCATAGGGAAATATTCTCATTGGAAGCTATCACGACGTCTCGTTCGCCAACATATTATTTTCCATACCACAACACCCCTCCCTACAGCTCATCATGAAGTCCTGGCTCCCCATACCCGTGTCCTCGCATTTCTCGCTGAAGAATATCCCCTTTGGCATCATCTCCACGGCATCCAATGCACACCACCGACCAGCCGTCGCTGTCGGCGAGCATGTCCTCGATCTCTCCGCCTTCACATCTGGAGCCGGCTTCTCCAAGCTGGCGCCCGAGCTGCAGAGCAACACAGCCGTGTTCGCTCAGCCGACGCTGAACGCCTTTGCCGCCCTCGGCCGCCCGTACCACCGCGCCATCCGCCAGTACCTGCAAGACGTCTTCCGCGAGGACACGCCGTACCCAGAGCTCCTCCAGATCAACGACACGCTGCGGCAGACGGCGCTCGTGGCCCTCGCCGACGCGCAAACGCACCTGCCGCTGTCAATCGGCGACTACACCGACTTCTTCGCCGGGCGCAACCACGCCTTCAACGTGGGCACCCTCTTCCGCGGCCCCGCCAACGCGCTGCAGCCCAACTACACCCACCTGCCGGTGGCCTACCACGGGCGCGCCAGCTCGGTCGTCGTCTCGGGCACGCCGCTGCGCCGCCCCTGGGGCCAGGCGCTGCCGGCGCCGGGGGCCACGGCGCCCGTCTTCCGGCCCTGCGCGCGGCTCGACATTGAGCTGGAGATGGGCATGTTCGTCTGCCGCGGCAACGCGCTAGGCGCGCCCGTCGCCGTCGCCGACGCCGAGGACAGCATCTTTGGCTACGTGCTCATGAACGACTGGAGCGCGCGCGACATTCAGCAGTGGGAGTACGTGCCGCTGGGCCCGTTCAACGCCAAGAACTTTGGCACCTCGATCAGCGCGTGGGTCGTGCTCGCCGACGCGCTCGAGCCGTTCCGCACGCGGGGGCTCGAAAACGAGACGCCGCTGCAGCCGTACCTGCAGGAGGACCGGACGGACAACATTCTCGACGTGCAGCTCGAGGTGTCCGTGACGAGTACGTCCCCCCCCCTTCCGTCTCTCCCTCTATCTCTCCGAACGAACGCAAACTAACGTGGGGCAGCCGCCAAGGGACACACGACCAAGCTCACCAAGACGTCATCGAAGAACCTGCTCTGGTCCTGGCCGCAGATGCTCGCCCACCACACCATCTCGGGCTGCAACCTGCGCGCCGGCGACCTCTTCGGCTCGGGCACCGTGTCGGGCTTCGACGCCGGCACGCACGGCAGCTTCCTCGAGCAGACGCAGGGCGGCAAGGTCACGATCAAGCTCGAGGGCGGCGAGGAGCGAAAGTTTGTCGAGGACGGCGACACCATCTCCATCACGGGCTGGGCCGGGTCTGTCGAGGGCGAGCTCGTCGGGTTCGGCGAGTGTGTGGGGCAGATTCTGCCTGCGGTTGCGCGGAGTTGAGACGAACGCTGGTATCTCGGAATAAAGCACTCCTAGACTTTTTGAAGCTATCCATCTCTGGCCTATGTCATGCGAATGTGTACTGAATGGAATGTGCCTATCTGCTAGGTGGCTCAAGGTACGTACAACAGACTCCATATCCATATCAGGGCCCGCCCCCCACTGATAGCAAGGTAGTCTGCGTCTCTTTCGGGCTGTATTCCATGGCACGATCGCGGCGGGCGGAGTGTGAGGGCATGCGACACACCTCAGGGGCTGGTTCCGACGCCGTTCCGAGCATTGCGCAGCATTCCGAGCATCGGCAGTCCGCAGCGCCAATTCCCGAACGACACCACCATCCCCTGCATGTCCGTCGCCGCAACCCATGGCCTGCAGCCACGCCGCCGATCGTCAAGGACGACTACATGTACCTCGAGGTACGTCGGTACTTCGGTACCTAGATGGCCCAAGTGATCCGAAGCTGCATTGAATATCAGGGTCCCCAGGAACCTCGACACGGCAGCTCACAACCGCGAGACAAGCCTCAGACATACCGTGCTCGATACATCGCCACCATGACCATCAACCGCATCACGCTGTTCAAGATCGCCAAGGACGAAGACAGGGCGACGCTGCTAGGCTTCTACAAGACGATGCAGCAGACCGCCCTCAAGGTAGGCGCAGAGACTCACATCCTCGTACGCCCCGGGCGTCTGTTGACTGCCGACAGGACGGCAAGCCGTACATCCTCGGCGTCAAAGCCGGCGTCGCGGCGCCCAACCCGCGGGACCAGGGCTATACCGTCGCCGTGCAGTCGACGTTCGCCTCGACGGAGGACATGGCCTTTTACGACAACGAGTGCGCAGGCCATGCGAAGCTCAAGGCTTTTGTGAAGACTGTGCACGAGGGGGCCATGATGGTGTATTTCGAGAACGCTCTTGAGTGAGGAACGCTCTTGGGTGAAGAGGGCCGCGAGGATGCAGTGTATGACTCGTGGAGTGGAGGACTGAATGGAGCAGAGAATAAAGCACAGAATGAAGCTCAGAATGATGAAAAAAAATTCATTCCTCATATGAGACCCTGAAACCGCCGTGAAATCTCATCCGCACCTTCCATCGGTAACATGCCCTCAAAAGACCCCGTCGCCATGGCCGAATCCGGTGGCATGCCGAACGAGTCGAACAGGCTCATCAGGTCGACGCTCATGTGGAAGGCATCCGGGACCGAGCTGCTCAACCCGGGGCTGATCTCCTCGTCCATCGGCGGCCACATGTCCTGCCAGGGCTGTCGTTCCGCGCCGCCACTGGTGTACGTGTGCTCAACAGCCGTCTCGACGTCTGCCTGCGCCTCGTCGAGGCCGGCCTGTCTCTCCTTGTCGTGCTCCATCTGGCTCTTCTCCGCCTCGGATCGCAGGGCCAGCGACTTGACGCGCGGCACGAGCCCCCGAATGCTCTTCCACAGGCGACGACTGGCGCTGCCGTGGCGGGAGAAGCCCTTCACGAGCTGCAGCGCCGCGAGGAAGCTGTCTCTGCACGGCTCGGCAAACGTGGCGGGCGCGTGACAGACGGCGAGGAAGATGACGGCGAGGGCGCTGAGGAGGAAATAGTTGAACGCGCTCTGCTGCCGGACGTAGATGTCGCTGCTTTCGTTGAGGTGGACCAGCACCTGGAGACTGTCCTGGGCAATGTCCACAACGTTTCGCGCAGCCTGGAGGTCTGACTCGATCGCTGCCGAGGTGAGGACGTAGTGGCGGTGGATCATGGTGCGGATGTGGTTGCCGCGGAGGTACAGCAGCGTGCGCAGGCGGTGGGTGACGCGAGGCTGCATGCGCGGGGCCAGGCCGAGGCGTGGGTGTCGCAGCTGGAGTTCCCGCGGTATCGATGCCAGCCAATTCTGCGCCATGTAGTCGAGATACCCGACTGTGTCTTTGGGGATGCAATTGGTCGACGGGCCGAAGAGGGGAAGAGCTTCCCACACTTTCGAGCACAGTCTTCCGTAGGCGACCATACAGCTGAGATACTGGAAGCCCTCGCCCTGTCTTTGGTCAGCATACGACCTGGTCCCTGACGGTGGAAGACGTACCGGCTCGGGCAATTCAGGGTCAATGTCGCGATCATGAAGGGCAAAAGAAAGACTCGTGCCGAATGACCAGCGGCGGTCGAGGGCATAGATGCACCAGAAGACCCGAACGGCGAGGTTGCGGTCGTGCGTCTCTTGGAAGTTGTCGACCAAGCTCTGTTTTCGGTGCAGGCCCATTTCGAGAGCTGTGCGGGCGGCGGTGCCAATGAGACGCCAGGCGAGGAGCTCCTCGTCGCAGTGGAAATGGTATATGCTCTGTTCACGAAGAGCACCGATTAGTATATGCTATCCATGGAGAGATGTTCGTGCGTACGAGCATTGTGCACAATTGCACCTCTTTGAGGTCAACATTGAGACGCGACGCGTAGCTGATCTCTGCCTCGACCGAGTCTGTCAGCAATGTACTCGCGTCGTTCCTGCCGTGTGCCTCGATGACGATGCCCGTGGCGATGGCAATCTTCATGAGTCGCATGTCTTTTTGCAGGGCTCGCCGCATCGAAGGCGCCACGTCTTCCTCGGGGTTCTGAAGAAAGGCCAAGACGTGGGGGACGCCGGCAGCCAGATGGGCCACCTCGATGAAGGGGTAGACGGATTCGACTTCCTCCTGGAACACGTCCAGCAGGCGCAGAATCTCCCCCGGCGCAAAGGTCAGCAGGGGATCGTAGCCCAGACCAACCTGCGACGCCATCTGCGGCTCGGGCGACGACGGCCCCGGAGAGCCAGCACGCGAGTCCGGGGCGCTCGGCGGCAGGGCCTCGTTCGACCCGATGCCCATGCGCGTCAGGGAGATCTCGGCGATGCGCAGGCTGAAGGCAGGGCGCGTGGGACCGACAAAGTGCGGCTGCATCGGCTCGGCGCTCTTGTGCCTCGACGCTCTCGCGTGGGCCGAGTACGCGGGGCTCACTTGCTGGTTCGTGCCGAGGGGCGCGACGCCGTAGTCGCTGCTGCGGCCTCGCTCGGTGAGTTCGCGCATGCCCTCGATCAGGGTGGCAACCTGCTGTTGGAGGCGTGAGATGTCCTCGGCGAGGTTTTCCATCTGGGGGTTCTCTCGCCTGTGATACGCAGGCAATGTGAGTCTTCATCCCGTGAACGTCGGGAGGCAACATGATGGATGAACCCACGAGCTGCTGTCATCTCCAATGGTGCCTTCCTGCGATTCCTTCTCGACTTCCACGTCTTTGGCCCGCGTGGTCGAGTTGGGTGCTACGACGCAGGTGGCGCCATCGGTGATGCATCTTTGGCATTCTAGCTGGTTGTCGGCTCTGATGCACTTGAGCTTTCGTTTCTGGCATTGTTTGCTGGATGAGATCGAATCAGCAGCGGCCGCGGCAGACGCATACGGATTTGCGGATCAGCTTGGGAGGGGACGCCTCACCATGCGTTGGTGGTGTACTTGGCCCTCTTTTTCGCGGCGGGCTCTCCGGTTGACGAGGCAGCTGCAGGCCGCTTGAAGGGCGTGGCATTTTCTGTTTGTTGTTCATTGGAGGACATGTCGATCGAAGACCTATTTGGAGCCCCCATGGTCGTTGCGCGATGTGCTCAATGGTAGAATATCGGTCTAGGCATTGGAGCTTGAATGGATGGAAAGTGAAGCTCTGCTTCAAGATTCTGGCGTCGTAAGGAGAAGGAGGGGAAAGGCTGCTGACATGCTGACATATAAGGGCCACCAGGGAGAAGACGACGGCGATTTCCAGTGGACCGCACGCTATGATACGGGGGGTGCCGTCAGTGAACCCAGCTGTGGCAGGCGTTAGCGTCCTGCGCCCAGGCTCGACAAAGGTACTGTCCACAGCGCGCCGGGGGCGCTGGTTTCAGCACGCAGCGCCACCCCTGCCTTCCCCGCATCCCCGTGGCCCTGCGTCAGGAAAGATACAAAAAGGTACATTCATCGCATACGACTCATGCTCGGTGCCCGCTGGTCAGAGGGGGGACGAATCAGCACGGATGGATTCCCAACGGCGCCCGAACAAGTACCCAGCCAAGCTCAGCTTGCTAGCATCATGCCAAGTGGAATCCTCACGATGGATTAGAGTACACTGATGATTCTATCGCTCCGTTCTACCCTGTTTACATCCGGCTCTTGACGCCCTTGCCCGTCACCTGTCGCAGTTCATCCGATATTTTCAAGGCTCGCCTCGTCGCCAGGTCAAGGAGGATCTCCTCGCTACCGCCCGGCACGGTAATGGCCTTGACGTCGCGCCAGATGCGCTCGACACGCTCGCCACGACCACCTCTGGTAAGACCGATGCCGCCGAGGATCTGCACCGCCTCGCGGACGACGTGCTCCAGGACGATGCCCGAGTGAGCCTTGAGCTGCGCCGTCGTGCCTGCGAGCAGGAGGTCTGCCTCGGCCGGAGCCAGCTGCGACAACTGGTAGATCAAGCTCTGTGGCGACAAGTTAGCGGCGACCAACTCCACAACAATACGTGTCGCGTCAGCCTACCTCGATCCAGGACTGCAAAGCTTCTGTTTCTCGGCTCATGTTGGCGAACTTGAACCTGATGACGGCTGTGGTCCGGCCTGTCAGCATCTCATCATGTCCTCGTGGGGCGGAATTCTCGCGTACGATGCTCGACCAGCTTCTTCCCAAACGTCTCTCGGCTCAACGAGTAGCTGCAGCTGTGAGCACGATGCAACTTGGGAGAGCCAGAAATATACTCACGAAATCGAGTCCTCGAGGCACACCCTCGCGCAGCGCAGAGCTTGAAAGCCAATAAACAGCCGCTGGCTGTGTTAGCGTCGCCCGAAGGGAGTCGAGGCAAACCCCAGAATCGGACGTACCTCGTGGTTAAAGTTCGACACGATGTATTTGAAGCCCTTGCCTCGTTCACCGACGACCATGTCAATGGGGACGTGAACCTCGTCGAGGTCGACAAATGCCGTGCCGGCAGCCGTGGATCCCGACATGGTCATGTGCCTTGTAGTAAGTCCCTCAGTCCTTGGTATCACGAGCAGGGTCATGTCTCCAGTCGTTTCTTTGACCAGGGCGAGGAAGTAGTTAGAGTACATTCCGGACGTGATCCACTATATTCGATGTGTCAGACAGGACGCCTGGGACGATGGACATGAATCTTCTTGGCTGACCTTCTTCTGGCCATTGATGATGAAATGAGATCCGTCGTCTGATAGCCGTGCTTCAGTCTGAAGGCCTTGAACGTCGGAGCCGGCTTCTGGCTCTGTGATAGCCAGTGCAATACGGGCACGGCCGGAAAGAATATCGTGCACAACACTGTCGCATGTCAGACTTGGGCCAACCCGGTGATCGAAAACCTCTTACGTCTTCTTCAGCTTCTCGGAGCCAAACTTTTGCAACGCAGGAACTGCCAAGGTCTATGTGGCAGAGTCAGCGAGCCCTCTCCATGTCAGCTTCGCGATACTTACGACACCACCAACAAGGCCATTTTCGACACTATCAAGTGCATCAGTAGTTGGGTGGGGAAATGGATCGATGCCGCAACTCACCCGATGCCGCCTATCCTGCCAAACTCATCGTGAATGATCAAGTCGTGGAAGCCATCCCACTCGACGGCAGGAACATCGCCGATGATGGGATATTTTCCCTTCCATTCAGGGTGCACTTTGGCCCCGGAGGCCATGGGCATCAAGAGGCCATCCTTCGCCGCCTGTTCGTAAAGACCGTCTGGCAGTGTCGCCGCGATTTCCCAGTCCTGGACGTGCGGCAAGAGGTGCTGCCGAGATGTTAGCCCGCACGACGTAACGTTGCGACAGCGGGCCTTTGTAGTACGCACCTTGTCAACCCAGGCTCTCATCGCTTGCCGCAGCCTGCGATGGCTTTCCTTGTAATACGGGCTCGGGCATCCCCGCGCCCACGGCGCCTCGGCAAACGGCAGAGGCGAGCCAAAGACCCAATTCGTCTTAATGTTCTCTGATAGGACAGACATGTTGCATTCGATACGACCAGACCAAAGAAACACTGATGAACTGAAATCGGGCCTGATACGTCTGCATAAATGCCGACTTTCCTCCATGATCTATGTCCATTCGGCGTTGACCAACACGCCATGCTCCACCCAATCTTCCTCGCCCGGAATCGACCAAGACGGAATGTGGGTGGAGATTTCCGGCGTGATTCCGGGGTACCCCGCGTCACCCGGAACATTCGGCTGGGCATATGCTGCACGCTCTGAATTGCAATTGATAATTGCTGGAAACGAACGTGTGGATACATGTACGTCGAATGCAGGAAGCAATCTCCCAGGGCTTGTAAGACCATACTGTTGAAAAGATCCTGTGGTGCGCCACCAACACTTGCACGTCGAAAAGCCAACAACCACCACCGCCGACATGCTCATCGAACAAGTTTTACCAAAGACGCCTCTTGGGTATCTCGCCCTCATTCTGTCGCTTCTCGCTGCCAAGTTACTAGTGAACCGGTTCGGCGGAGGGCTCAATGGCATACCAGGCCCGTTCGCCGCGAGCTTCACCGACTGGTGGCGCCTGTTCATCGTGTGGGGACGTCGACCAGAGCTCTCGCACATCAAACTGCACGAAAAGTACGGCCCACTGGTCCGGCTTGGACCGCGCACCGTCTCGGTAGGAAACGCGGAGGCGATCAAGACAATCTACGCTCTGAATGCAGGGTTTGTCAAGGTAAACCTCCTCCCCTTGCGCCTCGGCCGGGAACATGACGCTCATCAGCGCGACAGTCGGGCTTCTACCCTGTGCAGCAGACAATCGCCAACGGCCACTGCCTCCAGAGCATGTTCAACACGACGGACGAGAAGTTCCATGCCAGGCTGCGACGGTCTGTATCCAGCGCTTACTCGATGAGCACGCTGGTCAACTTTGAGCCGCTCGTGGATTCGACCTCTGAGGAATTCCTGAAGCAGCTCAAGCAGCGGTACACCCGGAACGAAAAGGCCAACGGCGAACTTGATTTCGGCCAATGGCTGCAGTTTTATGCTTTCGACGTCATTGGCGAGTTGACGTATTCCAAGAGACTGGGTTTTGTGGACCGTGGTGAGGATGTTGATGATATCATCCACAACCTCGAGGGTCTGCTTAACTATGTGGCGGTTGTAAGTCCTCCATCCTTGTTTGTATGGAACAGAGAAAAGTCAATCTGATTCACGCTCGCAGATAGGACAATTGCCGATCCTGGATAAGCTGCTGCTCAAGAACCCCTTCAGAATGTGGATGAGCAAACACAACCTCCTTAACTTCAACTCGCCCGTGGTTGAGTTCGCAAAAAGGCGAATGGCAGAGCGGAGCGACATTGAGAAAGAAGCTCAGGAAGAGCTACCCACCGGAAAGACAGCGCGGAAAGACTTTCTGTCACGCTTCAAGGATGCCCGCAAGAAGGATCCGGAGTTCATCAGCGAGGAGCGCGTGCTGGCCTTGACGGTTGCCAACATGTTTGCCGGCTCTGATACAACCGCCATCAGCCTTCGGGCCGTGTTCTACTTGCTACTGAAGCACCCAGAAAAGATGGAGAAGCTCATTCATGAACTATCCACAGAGAGTCAGGCCGGCAGATTTGCACGCCCGGATGCACTGGTCCAGTGGGAGGAGGTGCGCTCCCTGCCGTACCTGAGCGCCGTCATCAACGAGGCTCTCCGATGCCATCCCGCCGCCGGCCTCACGCTTGAGCGAGTGGTGCCAAGTCAAGGGATCAATGTTGCCGGTCAGCGTATTCCTGGAGGGACAATCGTTGGCTGTTCGGCCTGGGTCGTGCACCGTGATGAGTCGGTGTTTGGCTCAGGAACCGACGAGTTCCGCCCGGAGCGATGGATTGATGCCAATCCGGCTGAACTCTCCCTGATGAAGAGCTGTCTTTTCTCGTTCGGCGCCGGCTCCAGGACTTGCATTGGGAAGAACATCTCGCTTCTTGAGATCTTCAAACTTGTACCAGCGATTCTGAGGACTTTCGAAGTAAGTTATGCTACACTCTGCTCAAGATGACCACCTTGACTAACGTCGCCTGAAGCTTGAATTGGTCGATCCAGATTCGCCCTGGGTGCTGCACAACGCCTGGTTTGTCAAGCAGAGCAATTTATTTGTCAGACTCAAGGAGAGGGAAAGTATTTTGTAGAAAAACAAAGAAATTGAAGAAATAAATACGTGAACAAAGTTCATTACGCATGGTAGATAATCCGCTTCAAGCGTGGCTTGACAATCTCCAAGACGTGAGGCATGCCAACATGGTGGACCGAGCAGAGTGAAGGAGCTTTCTACAGGCCTGTTGCGCCGTTAATTATGAGCTAGGGGCTTAGAAAGCGTCTGAGTGTTGGCCCTGCTGGCCCTCTGCAAATTGGAGGGCATTTACTGCCCTTGTATACGCTTTTACATGGCCTCAGCCCCTGAACCAGCCCCCTGAAGCTTCCTGTGCGTTAGCTCCGCAGATGTCTCCTGACCAGTTTCGCTGTGGATCCTATCGTTAGCAACGTTACTACCCAGGTGAAGTTGGTGAACACAGCATACTCTGTAAGCGCCCCAGAACACCCCAGAAAAACGCAACAATGGCTCTTTGGTCACGCGCAGATACTCGCAATACGCCATGG